AAGTGAGCGGTATGCAGATATACAATAGTGACGGGTATTTCGGATAGAAAGAGCAGTAATATTCGCAATGTCAACTAAGAACTACGAAATATTGGATTTGACCACTAAGTATTGGGGAACGGCTCCCTACTACTTGGATTATGAAAATACTCGTAGTCAGTCCAATATATATATAAGTACGTAGAAATCCGGAACCCTATAGGCAAAAGTAGCGGCTGATGATTTCAGGTCCGAAGTACATGTAAACTGACACAAGGCGCTGCGGATGATGAGAAAACATGTAATAGCACTTGCTACGACATGAGTAATGTGTGAAATAATCAACTACGCACCTAGTGGGGCTAGCAAGACGGGACAGGACATGGATAGGACAAGTGCGCGGGAAAATATCGGGTCCGATGCGGCCGAAACGTCGGGTCCACTAGTCAAAGTGTCAGGTTTGTGTCAGGTTGTGCGGGTTACATCGGGTAGTGACGGGCATTGAACGTGTATCAGGAAATCAGTGAATACAAGCCTAGCGCAAGCTCGAGTGCTACAGCGCAACCTCGGACCTTCGTTTCTAGATGTCGGACCACCTTCGGACCACTTCGGACGAGTACTTCGGTACTTCGGACATATCCTCAGAACGCCGAGTGCACTCTTGGTAACTTTCCTTTTCTCACTTCAGTCTTAACAAGATATCCCTTGCATTATATCAAGGAGCATTTCTATAGGCAGTCTCTTTGGGACGAACATCACACTCGCACATTGAGTTCATAAGGTAACATATTTGTAGTGCCCACATAGAATCAACTCTTTACACCGTTACACGCATCGTACTCCTCTGCAATCTCCCCAACTTCGACTCAAAGGTGAACAATTTCCATGTATTAATGCACAGGAAGCTCATTAAAATCAAAGAGACACCTCAATCGGTTTCATCATGAACCTTGTTGGTAAGTTCTAGATACCTGTTGTGCCGACAAGTGACACTTTAATTATTATGAAGCATATAGCCTGCCTTCTTGGTCGTTCATAGTTAGTATACTTTCTGTTTTTTTTATGAAGATAACCTAACGAGCAATGCAGAAGTAAGACATCCAATTCTCAACTTCAGTGTTGTGACAGATGCATAGATGCGAGCATTTCATTCGGTATGAGGGGGCCATGACTGCAGTTGGGATTCAAGTTGTGGGTCACGCTGACCCAAGTCGTTGCCCACCGTTCCTAGAAGTGAGTCCGTCAACCCTCATTTATTCTTGGGTCATGCTGACCCAAGTCATTGCCCACCATTCCTAGAAGTGAGTCCATTGACCCTTGTTTATTCTCAGGCCATGCTGACCCAAGTCGTTGCCCACCATTCCTAGAAGTGAGTCCGTCAACCCTCATTTATTCTTGGGTCATGCTGACCCAAGTCGTTGCCCACCATTCCTAGAAGTGAGTCCATCGACCCTCATTTATTCTCAGGCCATGCTGACCCAAGTCGTTGCCCACCGTTCCTAGAAGTGAGTCCATCAAACATAATGTACCCTTGCTTTGGGAGAGACCAGATCACTGGTCCAGGTGTATGTGCTTTGAATTCTCTTGTACACGCCACATCAACTCCTACATGGCTCATCTATGAAACCAACAATGTCAATCCAAGCAACATTGAAGACCGTGCGCTGACATGCACAAAACCTGTTTTGTACATGAACATGGCAAATATCTGGCTTATAATACCTTTCATAATAGCCTATGGGTCTACCCAGAATTTTCTATGCATCATCCATATTTTATTTGAGTATTCTTGGGCTCAAATCTGCTCAGTACTACTTAATGGTTTAAAATAATACTTATCCTTCTGAAAGATTGCCTTCGAACTTGTAATTTGTCAATTAGTCAGCAGTTTCTCACACCTCCTAGAATTTTCTCACGCATTTTCACATATTCTAGGGTATGTTTTGTGTCATGTTCTGACATATTCACATACACGGGTTTTTCATTTTTACGGTACTGAGAGGAAAGTTTGAAAGACTTCAAACTTCATTACATAATCAGTCTCATGTGACTTGGTGGCACATTATGACACACATGCAATACTTCATTATGGCAAATATGCAAGACCAACACTATGGTATTTAACAAGTTAACATCAGACTGTGAGAATCTCAACAAAGTTTGAACACAGCTGAGAGTACAGCATTCAGGCAGTGCAGAGGCAGTGTACATAGCTTTGTAGCACAGGTTAGCATAGCCACAGAGCACAGCCACTAATGTCGATTTGAAAGATTCTGGAATATTCTATCAGACAACACTGGAGTTTGGTGGAACAGTCTGGAAAATTCTATGACATTCTTTGAAACCTTAATAGTAGATTAGTAATCAGTAGCATAGCCACTAGTAGAGTAGTATATAAGGGGCCTATTTTCCCCTCTAATAAAGAGAGCTCCAAGCCAAGTACAGAGAGCCCATTTCCATATTATCTAAGCTTGAGTGTGAATAAGTAAGTGGGGAATAAGAAGAGTGTTCATATAGCTCTTTTTAAACTCTCACCTCTAAGATACTAAGTGACATACTGAGTGAAATATTAAGTTATTTCATTCCACTTTTGACACTGTTTCCTACGACATACAGAAGCATATTTGAGGCCAACATTGAGCCAAACTTTTTACACTAGCTGGTACACGGTTATCAGTCATCTAGTGCAGATATATTCCAGTTCTCTTTTAGACACAGGAAACCTATTCTGTGGGGAGAATATACATATTTTCATCAGCAAGGGAAGACAAATAAGACTAACAGTCAGTCACTAATATTAAGAACTTGGCCCACTTAAGTCTGTCCTGCGTCACACTCATCGTATAGTGCTTGAGCAGCAGAGAGTAGGTTTCAAAGCCACATATTAGTTCGGGCTGATCCGTGTTAAAGGCTTAGTTTGATCTCCAATTGGTTTGTGAAGATAGGGAGTATCGTTATAGCTCTAAGAATCATCGCATAGTCATACATCTGTATTCGTTGAAGTCATAGCACTGCATCGCGCCAGTTATCGACTTTCTTTAGGATCATAGCACTGCATCGAGCCAGTTATTGATTCTGTTTCCCCTTTAGTCACTGTGTACTTCCTTTGAGAACTCAACACACTTTTCCCACGAACAACCATGTTATCGACTGTTGATATTTGTCTGAACCGTTGACCGTGGTAGGATACTGAAAATCGGTGATTTTACTGTTTTCACATCCTAGTAAGACAGCGTGAGTCAAGTGGGTACCTTAACAGTTCTCTGGAAATATCTACTGACACTCTCATACAGTTGACAAAAAATGTTCCGCCGAATCATTGCCTCCCCTTCGTACATTCGTCATCGATGTTATTTCTTCAGAAAGCAAAAAGCTGGACCATGAGGACATGGAGATGTTGAAGCAGACAAAGTTGAGCAGTACATCGATGGCCTGTGGAGTGGTTGATCGGGCTATGCAAGCATATGGTGCCGAGGGTTTGAGCCAGGACCAAGAACTCGCGAGCATGTTATGCTGACCCAAGTTGTTGCCCACCGTGAGTCTGTCAATCCTCTTCACACATAGGTTTTGATATTCGGCAACAGGAACTTCCAGTTCATATTCTATCAAGGTACAAACATCTACTGTATTCCCTCCCAACCTGAACCTGCGGCTTCTTTGACCTCAACATGACAAGACAACTGCTAATTCCCACCACCACGACCCATCAATCTCCGCAAGTAATGTCCCCAGTTGGATCTCCAAGTCGTAACACTCCCTTCCTCTCCTCTCCGGATTTCACCATCTCTCAAAACTCCCTGCTGTGGTCTTTCGGTGTGTTGCACTGATGTGCGCTGCTCTTGCAATCTGTGCGCGCAAGCAGGACTACCGCATAACTAGATAGTAGATATCTATGTTAGTTTTTGATCCAATGTTATCGTAATCACTTACTTTGTCCTGTGGCCCCATTAATATTAGTAATGTGATTGTAAATGTAGAGTGCATGTTGTGAATTGGTGTGATCGTCAATCGGCATCTCCAAGTTCTCCTTGCGGTTCTCGAGACTGGAGTTCTAAATTGTACATAAATCTATTTTTGGCTTATGATTTAAAAATATATTTGAGTTGGTTTAAGCCCTTAAATTGACTTAGCTATAACTACTCGAGCCGAGCCGAACCCTAATTACACAAGCTGTAACCACCTGTCAGCACAGCTATTTATAGCTCAGGCCGCAGCTGGAACTGGCAACAAACCGAACCTGCGGCAACACTAGTTGCCTCTTCGTGAAGTAGACATGCATAGTCATAGATCTGGATAAGTAAGTTTTATAGTGGACGTGAATAGAGCAAAATAAGCTTACCCAGAATGTAACCATCGACACTGAATTGTGTTAGAACAAAATAAGGGGTTTAGACAGTACGCGCTGTGTATGTACTGATAGAACACAACTTGTCAATTGTGATTCGCCCTCATATCGACAAGGAGACACACCTTAGTTAACTGCAAGCTCCTCGCTGCTGCGACATTGGCAGTCGAATACTCCATCTAGAGGTCGAAAAATGTGGTTCACACACATCATGTGTCTTCTTAGCTTTTAGTACGAATGAGCCGATTCAATGAGCCCCATATGTCTTGAAGGTGGCAGTATAAATATTAATACCAGGAATCATTACAGCATTCGAATTAGTTTGAGTTTAAACTTAGCTTGCTGTGGTCATGATGGAGTGTTTCATCGTGATCATCATGACTCACTGGACTTGAAAAAATAAACAGTTGCACCTTGAGTTCAATGCATTTGAGGTTGAAGTTATGCTCAGGCACATACATCGTTCAAGTTGGTTGAAACACAGAATTATATAGGGGGGGTACCCCCCCTTCCAGATTAGGGTCTGGAACAGGGTGCGTTTGATGTGCGGAGTTGGAAGTTGCTTACGTTTTACAGTGGCTCCTCGGCACATAAGGTTTGAAATGTGTATCTGGAATTCCACTGCAATATTTCACCTGATCATCATGATGGGTCTTGAAACGGGATCAAATTCACCATGCAGATTTGTGCGATAGAAGCCCTGAACGGTGGTATATCTATCATAAACGCTATCGCCATAACGCACCACCAACATTCCCAACTCGCTTACACCCATCCCTCGAATATGACTGTAGTCTTAAATGATCCTAGTTTGTGGCCGACGATCAATTCGAATTTGGTTTACTCATGTTGTATGGGTTCGTCGTATCTGTTGGCAATGTCTCTCAATTTGACATCAACTTGCGGTTTCGCAGTTGCTGCCGGCGTTGTAGTGGTATACGATTGGGGTGAGCAGGACAGTGTTTGAAACCGCTGATACATTCTTATTATACTTTTAGTGCTGACACTCAGACAAGAGGTAGGTCAATGTTATCTCCGGCGCAGCCAACTCGCTAAGAATGATGTTATAGATTGAACTGATCTGGGTGAGTGACACAGTTCCATGGCAGGAGAATATAATGAATTTGCGACAGAGGCAACCCTGGTCTCTCATGACCATGCTGTATGTGGTTGTTCGTACCTCATGATATGCTATAGTATGGTTGGCAGTTGTGTTGACTCCAAAATTTTCTAGATACGCTATATTGGAATACCATATTCTTTGTATGTATCGAGGCCAAAATATTGGCACTGTGCTAATAGCTCATCTCTGACAATTAGTGTCTATGCTCTGCGTATGTGTCATATGCGCTGTGTTCAATCCTTCTGACTGGCGGCACACAGCAATTATGCCATCGGTCTCGCTGACAGATGCAGTAAATAGTATTCTGCAACCATCTCATTCCTATCTGATGGATACACTCATATGTAGGGGTGAGTGAGATTCTAACATTGAACATGACTCGACATAATGACTCAATAGGTGTGAGTCGGAGTGTTTGATATCAGTACGAAGATGATCACTAATTGGGTGTTTTAGGCATTATTGTGAGCTATGCACTGAATGCGACGAATGTAATTGTACCTGCCATGTTGGGTGGTGAGTTACTGAGCTGCAATATTTGAGTTGGCTCGACTGAAACATGATGCAAGTCATTATGATTGCTCGATTGCATGCCATGTATCAACGATCCAGAATGATTCCTATCATCCTTTTTGTTATATTCATGGCTGTTAACATTGCCTGCGCAATAATCACAGCAATAATACTTAAAAGTACCGTAACGGGTAAGCTTTACTTGTTCAATTGAAGAACACAACTCATTGGACAAACATCAGAGGAAATGATACTGTCTGGCACGTACATGTGCTATAATAGCTATCAGGGGGATGCCCAGCTTCTGATCTGGATGATTTGGATGCTCAGCACCGTTTAAGAGGTTCTCACACTGTGTCTTTCAGTCCGGATTGCTCTAAAACACTTCCGTGACCTGCGTCGACTTGGTCCATCCACACGATCAACCATCAGAGACTGTTTCAGAGTACTGATAGAATCTCACATGCTTTATTTTGCAAGGTGAGCATGTAATGTGAACATGACCATCTGTTTCTGCTCAAGTTGCGCACGTGCTAGCATCGTTTGTGTTTCTTGCCTCCAGCTTGCTTATCTCTCACTAGGGCTCTTGGTGCGCCAACCTGTCATTGCCATGTGTTTGCAAACACTGCTCATCATTTCTGTAGAATACGAATTATATGGCAGGTTTGATACTCAACGGTGCTTATGACATTTTCTCGAGCATACAGTTGTTTGTGCTGGGACCACGCCTCATCCTTAGCGTTCGGAAATACCATGCTAAACTCATGGCAGACTCCGATGCCGATACTAGCATGAATTCGATTGTTTTCCTGGAACTTGTACATTTACCAACTAGTAGTATTGTGTAGGAAAATGTTTCTTGAGTGTTGTGCAGGGAGGTGAAATCTCGTCCCACGTTATCCGCAAGAGTACTATTAAATCCGCCCTCGACTCTGCTGGGTTCATCCGAGGACCGAGATGTGTGTCGTATTGCCCAGGTGAAGCAATCCTTGAGGATATTCAGATCTGCGAGAGCGATGAGTGGTAAAGGAACATGATGGGGCTCTCTTGACGTTGGGACAATGGTGAATACTTACTGGAAATGAGGATGATGACCGAATCCTGGCGTGCTGCCACTTGCAGTTCTTCGTACGAAGGTGGGAGTAGGAAACGCGATAACACCCGAAGATCACGTATATCAGCTACTGATGGCTGATTTCCAGCGTCTCCGGGAGTCGAAATTGATAGATATGTGAACGCCAGCGGAAATGCGCTCGGAAGGGACTTGAAGATTCATTCCGTTAATGACTGTACATAAAGTGCGAGGATCATGAAACAGATGCAAAGGTGATACGGAGGGACTCGCCTTCAAGCTTCAAGTCTGATATATATAATATCGGCTTTTGGAGCTACCAGGCATGGTGGTGGGATGGTGTACATGATGAGGGTCAAGGAATGAGTGAGAGATCTTGAAGACGGGGGTAGTGAGACTGTGAATGGAGTTCGGCTGAGGTTTCAAGTCAGGTTGTTCGGCACCTGATCTTGAAGATGACAAATGGTTCATAAGAGTCCTCACAGCCACCCAGATACGAACTGGCAGGTACTACTGCGTCTATGTCTTCAAAAAAGCGTACAAAGTACCATTGAGCTTCGGGACTCCCTTCTGGACTGGCTTGGCATTTACCGGCACTTCTTGGTCGTACCAGTAAAGACTCCGAGTCCTACCTTGCACTGGCTGTATCCGATCGGACCCCTCATCAGCGTGAACAGGAGTTCATTATGGCTCAGGTCGTCAAGGTCATTGGCATCTTTTGATGAGAAACTATGAGATGGCCCAGGTATTGTCTATTACATGATTGATCTAGATGTTCGACTCATCATCCGCGTCAAAGGTAACGATGCCCATTGCAGCGTGCTTCCATCATTATTGCATAACACTGCTGCACCACATCAATACACAGTCTGAATTCTTTTATTATCAGTTATCTCACCAGACTCAGCTCCTGACAATGCGTTGAATTCCTAGAGATGTGCTACCCTGCCACGGCAGAAACCGAGTATGGAATTACTTCCACTACTCTGACTCAACGGTTTATGTATCCCAAACTTAATGGAATAGCTTCCCTTTCATTGCTCCGCCTATGGGCCATCACACCTCACTGAAGGCTTGGAACGCTCTAGCGCTAGTAGTAAGTCATTGAGGAGTCCTCTCACAAGGTCTATACATACATTTTGCTGATAATTTGCAGGCCTAAATTGTTGAACCTTCAGATGCACAACCTCCTCATGCACTTCTGCTTGCATGCCAATTTTCATGAGCAGGTGCTCCCTCCCGCGCCCGTTTTGTGCAAGTGGATTCTAAAAGTAATGCGCGCTCATCAGCACAGCAATTACGTTTTTTTTAAACCAGTGTTTATTGTCCATTGGGGCAGCGCCCTATGGTAGACAAAACAAACACACAGCCATTACGTCTGTCTTGCATTACCGCTTATCACCTGCTACAGCTTCCCGTGGCTCTCAAGCGGGAGTTCTCATGAACTAACCACATGTATGGCATAGATAGCGGCACAGAACAGTTTCTTGGCGAGGAAATCCCTAATAAGAGCACAGTGTCCTCGGCACTTCCGAGTGGCTATCAAAGACGCACTGATAAATCTACATAAGAACTTCCTTCCTAAGTGCACTTCACCTCATTGTCAACTTTGCCCATGCGTGGTTCAAATAGTGAGTTCGATGGCTCATAATGATCTATGCTCACCATTCGCTCAGAGATTCGATTTTTCTTACTGCTACTCCCATTTCTCAAAGGGGCATATGCCAGCAACATCAATATTACCGATTGCTTCATCAATTTCAGAAATGATGCGAACAATAGGACCGATCCATCTGGATTGGTGAGCGTTAATGGCGGAAATGTCCTATCGTCGGACATTATGAACGCAGTTGGATTCACGTATCATACGTGTCTCTCACAGTGCAGCTCTGGAACACAGAGTCCCATCTGGGCAAACGTGTCGCAACAGTTCGGCACCTGGTTATTACCTTACCTTGCACTCATTTCTCAGCTGCCCTTCGGTGCAAGACATAGAGTTGACAATCTCATGTCTGCCATACTCACAGTCGGATCACCGGTTCTCGCTGGTTACTCGATGATTCTCACCATTCTCAACGCCAACTGGATCAGTCGCCAGTTCGAAGACCTATTCTTCCCTAACACTAATGACGCTGTCCGTATCCTTATAAGCCTTCAACAAAGTCCGCTGAGAATAACAAACGAGGACTCGCTGCTGAGCTCTCTCGTTATTCTGCCACAGAATGATGACTGGTGGCCGACCATTGCCGATTTTCTCGACTACACTCATACCTGGTCCATCGCATCTGTGACATCCATTGCGTGGGTTGTCATCGCCTACCTACTGACGGTCGCCAGCTCGCTATCTGACATTCCCTCCGAGCTCAATTCCAACATTGGTCAAGCGACGGGATCGGTGTGGTTGTGGCTTATCCCAATCGTTATAGGTTGGCTGCAACTGTCCCCGAAGTGCGATTATGCACGCGTTAGAAAGGCCATGGAAAACGCGGATGCAATGGCATTTGTAACCACCAATCATGGAGTTGTTGTAAAGGCGTCGGATCTTTCAGAAAGACGAGCAGTATCCATTGATACCAATAGAGAAAGTCCTTCGTCTCCTGACGAAATGTTGACTCCGCCCGTCTATAACTATGCCAGAGCCATTTCATGGTCTCGGTCGGCGGAAGACATCTACAATGCTTTTCGAATAGCCTCCAACAACGCCAGGATACACAGGCCGGTCATGATTGATGCCACATGGATAAATACGAATAGGAAGAGCTTTATTGAACCCGGCAACAGGAGAGGCAATGCATCAGAAGTCGATGCTTACTGCAAACTTCCGCAACACGTGGTACGAAGCCCCTGGGCCACAGGGATGTTCTTTCGCATGTTCGTGGCCTCGCTGCTGCCCCTAGCTTTGCAATGGGCTACAACTGGATCTGCGGTATTAGTTGTATATTTTATTCCGACTATAGTGAGTATCATTTTATATGCGGTTATAATTATCTGGTTGTTGATTAGCGGCACACGACAGGGCCTTGGTTGTAGATCTCTCGGTTTTCTCATCTATGGCACACTTGCAACGATAGTATGGGCGATGCTCGTTATGTCGAGCACCTTGTCGCACTACGCATCCTCGCGCTCAGACAGACCCAGTGATTCTTTCTCATCCACCACTCTCAGTCTCACGAAGGTAGTATCGAACCTTTTGAGATGGGGAGGGAAATTGGTGGCAATCATCAATGCAATCTGGATAATTGTGGCAGGGATGCTGGAGTTTGCAAGTACCTATGACAATTGCTACTGCAACTCAAATGTGTTGGGAGGGGCCCAAAATGCATATAACATTGTCTTGCGCAATGGTGTAGACTTGGGTCAAACAAAAGCTGCTTGGTTCGGAGCGTTGGCTTTGGCTGGGTCTACCTCTTTAGGATTCATTTTTTATATCAGTTTATTGACCGATCTTGTACCTATATGAGGCCTCTGACGATGATATACCGCACTATACTTCCAGTGGTTCCTTGGTTATATTACAATCACCCACTCGGAGATCACGAGAGCTACTGCACAGACCTGCTATGGCCCGTCGAAACCCTTGTCTTCATCTCTCCGTTGCTGTTCTGCCGCTGAACGCTTCCGTCGTCATCCCTTTCACACGCAATTTTGCTGCCGTGTATATATGCATCCACCATTGCCTTCCGATGGTTCCTACACAACAAGTCGGGCCGTTGTTTCCATCCCACTTGCACATCGTGTCGTCCAACGAACTGCTCATAATGCGGATGTTGTCGTACAAGAAGACGAAATTCGAGTTCTCCTTCCCGTGTCCTTCAAACTTGTGCTTAAGAGTTGGTTCCTTGGCTTGCGCTGGTGCGATAGAAAGCCGGGAGTAGTAAGCCCGAATTGTTTTTTTAAATAGACGAAGGCATACAAATGTTCCTCCCACCCTTCGACAGACTCATCCTATAAGTTAAGAACGTAACCAACTCTACCAAGCCCACCTCCGCAGATCACCTTGTACGGACAAAGCGTCGCTCCACGAACGATACCCAATACGCCACAGGATAAGACATCACACCGTAGAATTTACAGATGGCATCTCGGACATTGGAATGCTCGCGAGGGTACTAGAGCCGTGTGGATGTCGGTCCGTCTGCCAGAGATGGAGATGCATGCGCGTGGCGAGGATAGCAAGGATCATGAACTGGAAACTGTACCCACGTGCGTTTCGGGTATTATTAGCAGGAATACACAGCAGGATTGGAAGCTCATACTTGTAAAACATGGTGTGGTAGGAATACTGTGGCGCGGAACATCAACGGCTCGATCATAAAAGACATTTAATAGATTCGCGCACCTTGAGGAGCAGTGATGTGAAGACGTTCGTTACAGAGAACACTTCAGGAAAGAGAATGATCATGAATGAGTACGGAAAAACAGCGCGTACGAGTGCTAACTCACAAAAACCGCATGCATAATAGGATATGTTATGGTTCACCAGGATAACGTACAGATGGCTTGGGTTTGTCCGCCAGTTCTGTATGGCGCGTATGAGCGTGAGTATCATGAGTTCTGGGGAGAACACATATCAGCGCATCTTTGTACGTATGCATGCTCCCAGTTACCCACCCAGTTCGAAAATGCAAAAGAAAAGAAAAGGTATGAAGAGCCAATAACTGGTCGAACTCCAGTAGCACCCCATAATTCCCGGGATCGCGCTAGTCGCATCTGTGAAAGTAAATAGAATGTTTCATTGGTCGTGGAACACCGAAGAGTAGGTGAGAGTGCGTACATGTTACGGCGACCGTAGCGTCGACGGCAATGCTGAGGGATACTACGAGAAAAGTCTGGGTGATGCATCTACCACTAGCTTGGGTATAGTGAGTGGATTGGGAACTCACGAAACAGGTAGATAGCACGGCTATGAGCAAAATTCTATTTTTGTTCCAGAGCGCATATGTTCTGAGGATGAAAAAGCCTGGATGAATCGGATCAGGAACATACATATCTCAAGGAGGCAGGAGAGATACACTCGGAGCAAACGGCTAATAGCATGCCGAACCCTGTGGGGTATCCTCAGCAAGGATGTGCATAGATGGATATACCACGTACCTGAACTTATACGATCCAACGCCCCGCATTTCTGGCAAAGTTATGGAGTAAGTCATTCGTTCACATTAACTCTCCGCCGCATCACATACACCTGGGTTCTCATTCGGGGTAAAGCTCACTAAGAACAAGTGTTAATTCATCATCGGGGAGATGTATGCTGGAGCAGAACACACTACATAGATTCATGGCGAGCATGATAAAGGGGAGGTATCGTGTGACAATATACAGGCCTTTCACTTTGGTCCAGTGCGATCGAAGCAAAAATGACCACTTTGCACAGCATATTGTGAGTATCAAAACCGAGTGTGTCATGAAATACGTATGTTACCTCTTCATGAAGTGAACATGCATAATCATAGGTCTAGATAAGCGAGTTTGACAGCGGACGTGAATAGATTAGAATAAGCTCACCCAGAATGTAGCCATCGACACTGAGCTCTATTAATAGGACGAAAAATATGAGGTTCAGACAGTACGCACTATATATGTACTGATGATACATGACTTGTCAATTATGATTTGTCCTCATATCGACAAAGGAGACACACCGTAGTGAACTGCAAGCTCCTCGCTGCTGCGATATCGTTAGTCGAATACTCCATCTAAAGGAAATGTGTTTCACACACGCATCATACGCCTTCTCAGCTCTTATAAATGAGCTGTGAACCCATCAAGGTGGCAGGGTAAATACTTGTGATCAATGATCATATCATTTGAGTTCCAACTTAGCTTGCTGTGGTCGTTTCACCGTCATGATTCACTCGATACACCGGCCGGGGAGCGAATTGATAGAAGATACAGTTGCACCTCTGATGCCTGAAGTAGTATGTAGTTTCGATCAGTCATACTCTAGTCCGAGGCACATACATTGTTCGGTCTTTAGTTAAACTACATAATAGACGCGGAACGCACCTAATAGCTATATATAACTTACACAGGTTTGATCAAGTGAAGCACAAAGATTGATTCGGAAACTCGCCGCGCACACTCGTTGTACTGGCCCCTGATTTATGAAGCTTCTGAAGCTCAAAGTTTGATACATTATAGCCACTTGAAATGCGAAGACCTCGGAGGAACCTAAAGGAACTTTCAGAGCTCTAATTTGAGATATATCAACTGCCCTCGAGTACTAGTACTTACTCGGTCGTCGTTTTTTCGATGTCCCAATTTCTACAACCCGTTAGGACTACCTTGAAGGCCCTATCCCTTTAAATGAACAGATATATCGTGTGACGACAACAAGAGCCTTTACCTTGGTTGAGAGCGATCGAAGCGGGAATCAGTCAACAATGTGTAATGATAGAGATAGACGCAGTCCACACGTGACTGTTTGTTTGCTGATAGCTTTACATAAAACCAAACAATGCCTCGGCAAGAAACAGTAAACCGTGACCAGAATGGCGGTTCAGCAAATGCTCCCATACTCTAATGCCCAGAAGACTTTGGTCTTCATCCAAAAGTTACAATATCAAGAACTGATCGGCTCACTGATTCTGGCTCCAGCACACTCGAGTTCTGGATCCTGAGTGCGCCACCGCTTGCAGTGGAAACTACATGTGTTAAATAGACCAAGGTCATTCAAATGCTCCACCCTGCGATAGACTCATCTATAAGTTAGGCACGTAACGAACTCTACCAAACCCACCCCCACCAGTCATCTTGTACGGTCCAACCCTCGCTCCACAAACAACACCGAATAAACCACAAGATAAAACGTCATGCCATGGAAACCACAGTTGACATGTCAGACATCAGGATACCCACGGAGGCGCCAAAGCCGTTTTCATGTTGGTTTATCCGCCAGAGATGGAGGTGCATGCGCGTGGTAAGGATCGCAATGATTGTGAACTCAAAACTACACATGGGTGTACGTTTCGGGTATTGTTAGTAGGAACACGCAGCAAGACATGGAGGTACATACTCATACAACATGGTGCGGTAAGAGGCCTGGGGTGCAGAACATCAACGACTCGGTTAAAAAAGGCATCCAATAGATTCACGCACCTGGAGGAGCAGCGACATAAAGATATTCGTTACCGAGAACACTTCAGGAAAGAGAATGATCATGGATGAGTGCGGAAAACGATGCGTACGGGTGTTAACTTACGAAGACCGCATGCATAATAAAATATGTTATGCTTTACCAGGACAACGTACAGAGGGCCTGGGGATCTCTGCCAGCTCTGTATAGCGCGTATGAGCGTGAGTATCATCAGTCCTAGGGAAAATATCTATCAGCACGTGTTTGTACATATATATGCTCCTGGTCACCCACCCAATTGGAACACGGAAAAGAGAAGAAATGGCATAAAGTACCAGGAACTGGTCTCATAACACCCTGTGATGCCTGGGATCGCGCTAGTCGGATCTGTGAAAATGACCAGAATGTTCCAGTAGTTGTGGAACGCCAGAGGGAAGATGAGAGTGCGTACATGCTGCGGGGACGACAGTGGCGAAGACAATGCCGAAGGATGCTCCGAGAAAAGTCTGGCTGATGCGTCTACCACTAGCTTGGGTGGGATGAGTGGATTAAAAACTCACGAAAAAAGTGGACAGCATGGCTGCGAGCAAGATTCTATTTTTGTTCCAGAGCACATATGTTCTGAGGATGAAAAAACCTGGATGAATCGGATCAGAACCACACATATAATTTGGGGGAACGAGATATACATCCGGAGAAAACGGATAATACTGTGCAAAGACCTGTGAGGGGAAAGTAGTAGCCTTCGGCAAGGACGTCCATACATGAATGCACTGTGCACATACCTGAGCTAATATGAACCAACACCAAACATTCCTGGCAAAGTCAGTGAGTTGTTTGTTTCCATTGACTCTCACCGCATCACATACACTTGTGTTCTCATTCAGGGTAAAGCTCCCTAAAAACTAAGTGTTAATTCATTATCGTGGCGATGTGAGCTGGAGTGCAACACACTATATAGATCCATGGCGAGCATGATAAAGGGGAGGTATCGTGTGGCAATATACAGGCCTTTCATTTTGGTCCAGTGTGATCGAAGCAAAAATGTCCACTTTGCACACCATATTGTGGGTATCAAAACCGAGGTGTGAAATGGAACAAGGGTGTTACCTCCTCATGAAGTGAACATGCATAATCATAGGTCTAGACAAGCGGGTTTGACAGCGGACGTAAATAGGTCGGAATAAGCCTACCCAGAATGTGGCTATCGACGCTGAACTGTGTTAGGACAAAGAATATGAGGTTCAGATAGTACGCACTGTATATGTACTGATGGTACATGACTTGTTAATTATGATTCGCCCCCATATCGACAGGGAGACGCACCGTGGTGACCTGCAGACTCCTCGCTGTTGCGATATCGTTAGTCGAATACTCCATCTAGAGGTCAGAAAATGTATTTCACACACACGCATCATGCGCCTTCTTAGCTTTTATGAACGAGCTGTGAGCCCATCAATATGGCAGTGAAAATACTAGGGATCATGTTATTCGAGTTTGAACTTAGCTTGTTGTAGTGTTTCACTATCATGACTCATTCACAGGATGTACTGGCTGGTGGCCAGGGAGCAACTTGATGAAAGATACAGTTGCACCTCCGATGCCTAAGGCAGTAGTTTCAATAGTCGTGCTCTATTCCAAGGCACATACATTGTTCAACGTTTCAGTCTTTGATCAAACTACATAACAAACGCAGAACGCACCTAATTACTATGTATAACTTACATAGGTTGATGACTGAAACACAAAGATTGGTTCGGAAACTCGCCGCGTGCGCTCCGAGTCATTGTACTGGCCACCGAATTATGAAGCTCCTTGAGCTCAAAGTTTGATACATCATCGTCAGTTGAAATGCGAAGACCTTGGAGCGACCTACAACTTGTCTACAACTACCTCAAGTACTAGTATAGTAGTACGTAGTTGTTGTTGTTTTTTCGGGGTCCCGTTGTTGTTACTACCGTAGAAGCTCAACCTCTTTGGAATGAACGAATACATCGCGTGGCGGCAGAAAGTGCCATTACCTTGATCCAGAGCGACTGCAATGGGAATGCACGCTTTGAACACCATCGATCAACTTGATGGCATCGGTGTATTCACAGAAACAGTCGGAGTCGCACAATAAGCTTAGCCCACACGTGACCGTTTGTTTGCCAACAGCTTTAAAACCAAACAACGCCTCGGCAAGAAATAGCTCAACAAACCGTGACCAGAATGGCGTTCCAGCAAACACAACAAGAGACTCCCATACTCAAATATCCAGAAGACTTTGGTCTTCACCCAAATGTCTCCCTAGAAAATGCGGCCAACATGCTATTTCGTGCCATCCAAACCTCTCAAACCCAACCCTACACATGGACTTTTATCGATAAGCCACAAGGTATGAATAGTACCAAAGACCTGAGTCTCTGACTAACGTTTGATTACTTCTACGACGCGTGCAGAGGGTCAAATATACCTCTTGTTTATGCCAAATCCTGCTCAATCTCTGAACGACGGTATCCGATGGCAAGACCAAGAAAATCGATACACTATGGCTGTCCAACGTGGTACACGAGTGCGTATCAGCCCCTTTATGTAATACATAAATCAGTTTAACCTTTCTCTAGGAACTCGAAGTCGCAGAAGTCAAATACGGCTTCATACCCAACTCCCAAGACACAGCAGCATGGCGTATGCGCCGACGCTACCGCCTTCACAAAGGCGGCCATCCTCAACTAGTGCTAGTCCACTACTCCCGCGTACCCCCCATCCGTAAGTCCCTGCATCACCATACCATCATTTTTGCCTTCTCACCACCCATCGACGTTGTCCGATATGTCTGCAACTTCACCGCATCTACACCCACATCCACATCCACATCCACCCTTACATCTGCATCCACGTATACATCTCCCGCACTCCAGAGATCGTCCCATCTCTCTTGAACAATCCCGTCAGGCACTACCCACTACGACAAATTACCGACCCTCCTATATATGTCATGGGCGATAGAGCGGGCCAAAAGGTCTTCCCACATCCCGCAGGTCCGCATCAAGGCGGTATGCCCCAAGTTGGAATGAACCCGCAGGCGATGATAACACAGCAGAACAGTAACATGGAGGCCCTAGAAAGGAGGAGGGAGCGTGAACGGACGAGAGATGGGAGTGGGGGAGTAGGGGTGGGCGTGAGTATACCCTATTATCGGAGAAACATTTATCTGATGTGTTGGTTATTGGTTCAGCAACGGCCTGGTCCTCCACGGCTAGATGATGACGAATCCGCAGGTTCGATTGCTTTGTTTGCTCAGATGACCATTATTCGCATTGATCATTTGTGCAGATGAATCTGAAATGCTATCGACACGGACGCTAGCAATTGCGAGATATCGGAGAAACCACGAGTTAATGGAAGAAGTCTTCAGGCATGCAGCTTTTGGTAAGAACGCCGCTTACTATCTCCGTCAGATCATTCTCAGGTACAGCACTCATTAGACAGCAAAAAACCTTTGTCATCAAAAAGAATATATGAGGGGTTTGACAAAGCAGAACTAGAGGCTAAAATAGTGCGTCCCGGTATCACTGATTCTGGGTTCGGCTAAATTCCTCTTCAGGTCAAATTGCAAGACGATGTAAGGGCACTGCAGGCCAAGGCTGCTGAGCGTCAGGCTCAGAAAGTAGCAGCGGACGACGTGATAGTTACAGCTAGCGGTCATGCCCCGATGGAACTCACTACTTAACCACTGTGCTCTTTATCTGTGTATTATTGCTAGTCGCATCACGCATTTGTTCCACACAGACAGGTATTGTGAATGAGGTTCGAGATTTCCTGAGGATAAGACAAGTAGTACAATTCTGGTAAGTAAGGCATGCGTAATATAAATTTTGCCATCAAGTATCTCAAACACTAATTGCAGAACATAACGGGAACAAAAACAGACAAGGAAATCGTATGTACTGGAAGTCCTCAGGATTGAATACAAAATACATCTATGAGCCCAAACCCAGAGAAAAAGCAAGATAAATAGCAATTGTTTCAGCAACTTACAAATCTGATGGTCCCCAGAAGATAGATTGCAATTTTGGGGGAAGAGTGGGGATACAACTAGTGAGTGCGGCCATAGGCGTGACGGGTGTCATGCCCTACACTCCGGCTTCGGGTACCGCCTTTGGGCGTGATTGGGATGGGAGTGGTGCTGGAGTCTCTAAGAAACCCGCCCGCTCCGTGAACTTCGGCTGCACGATAGGAAGAAGGATCTTCCTTGATACGAAGCCGCGATCTCCGTAGCCAAGCACCTGACGCCGGAGGTGTGCTCTCGGCCCTTTTGTGCTCCTGCGGCGGCAGTGCGTCCTGAATGGCTTTCAAACGCTCGATCGCAGTGGTCATACCACTACGGCGGGCAGTAGGCCCTGCTACAGCGTTGATGCCTAGAGTAGACGTCCAGTGAGCAGTACCGCCCAACACGTCTACATCAGCGTCCAGATCTCGAGATTCTGGAGCGTATTCTGATTGACGGGAAGACGTCGCTAATGATGATGTACACCGAGGCGGGGGTAAAAATCCCGCCTTCTTCGGTCTCCGGCCACGCTCAGGTGATGGCCCTGGCGAGGTAAGAAGAGCAGGGCCACCAATGTCAAGAGGCGGCACAGAGAGAGACGTCGAGGCGCTCACCACTGAATGACTGAGTTCATCGTATGTGGGAGACATTGGATAACGAACGACTGGTGGGCGGGAGATACTGCGACTTGTACATCGTGTTGAGAGCGAACTTGCAGTTGAGACAGAGGCACGGGAGAGGGAACGGTTGGACAGCCTTGGGGGTGCTTCTTCGGTGTGAGGTGGGCTCGGCTTGTTATCACGCCGTGCGCAAGGGCGCGAGCGCGACTTGGATAATGAGGGAGATCGACGACTGGGATAATCTACTAACTTAAATTTATCCTTGTCTGTTACAGGAGATGTGTCGTCGTCGTCATCGTCGTCAAGCCCAACACCCCAAGCCATCTCATCCACTGTCGCAATCGTCCACCGGGTGCGGACACTACGCTCCAAACAACCTTTGAGAACATGCTCGGCCCCACGACTGATACCAGAAGGCATATCATAGACACCTGTAAAAAAAGTGCATTAGCAAGCCGGAGATCACGATATTATATTCTCACCGTGCAAAATTTTCATCTGGAGTCGTGGCTCGAATGAGTCGAAAAATGGGAGACGGCCGGTCAAAAGCGCATAAAGCAGAACACCCAGGGCCCATATGTCCTGAGCTGGATTAGCACCTTTGAACCGTGAAGGTTTGGGTTGAAGAAGCTCAGGTGATGCGTATGGTAAAGACCCTTGCTGGAAAACATGTGATGGATGGACAGGCGGAGGGTTTTCGCCGATAGGAGTTGATGTACGATGACGCCTAGGACGATGGTGTCGTAAAATTGAGAGGTGCAAAGATGTGTTGGATTTTGCAGGTCTATTAGAAGTGGAACGGTGACGATGAGTGCCAGAGTGATTATCAGGGTGATTGTCTGCATCGGATAGGGGTTCATCACCGTCAACTTCGCCGATTTTGCGAGTCATGCCGAAATCGCAAATTCTACATATACCCATCTCGTCTACAAGAACGTTCTCAAGTTTGATATCCCTGTGTACATAGCCTGCGACTTCGTGCAGGTAGCGTACGCCTCGTACAATTTGTCGAAACATCATGCCGGCGTCATCGTGAGGGAGAGCGGGACGACCGTCTCTTAAAAGTATATCATATAGTGATCCCGCGGGACAAAGAAGAGAGAAGAAGAAGTCGGCGTAGGGAGTGTGTTCGGAAAAGAAGAGGGGTAAGGTGTGCTCGTGACATAGAGAAGCCCATATCTGGGCCTCGTGATTGAGTCGCCTTCTAGCTAAAGAAGGATCTGTCTGTTTCTCCAAATCGGTGCGACGGACAATTTTGACAGCGACAACACCTCCGGAAGGGGATGAGGCACGTCTGATCACGGAAAAACCCCCATAACCTATGATTGGTCCAAGAACATAGCCACGAATGATTTCACCTTCTGCATCCGGGGATTGTGGGATTGCGGAGGGATTAAACGCAGATAAGAACATCATTGCTGGTGACATGGAGACACCACCGCTTTCTGGGAGAGGTGCGTGCTCATTGTTGCTTGTAATAAGTTGCCGTGAGACGTCCTGGTCAAGATCCGAGCCGGAAGCTGTCTGGGGTGCTGTTATCTGGTATTCATCTGGTAATTGCCGAGATGGTGGCAAACCCCAAGCTAGAGGTACGCGCTCATGTTGTGATGTAACTTTGGAGGAGCGTGAAAGCGACGCCGTAGTTGTTGCAGGAGATAGAGATTTGATGAGACCTGATGTCATGGAAAGGTGTTGTAGAAATGAACGATGATCTGAGCTTAACAGCAATGAAAAATAAGGTCTAATGGCACAAAGAAAATCGATGGATATGACGGTAGAAGGATATGTTGCGCGTATTGTGGGGCCTGTGAGGGGAAATGGCGACAAGGGAAGACTTAAGAGGCACGAGAATTTAAATAAACGACTTCTTGGAGTAATCGCCAATTTACGGGCGTGTGACTCCTTTCCCATATTTATTTGTATCAGTCATGTTCCGGTTCCGATCTTGAAATTGGGCGGCTATTCTGCTACGGCTACTTAACGCTCCTTGCTTCGAACTCATCTTCTGCCATCCAATGCAGCTATTGTCTCTAGGCCCAGGCTTATCGAGCCTCACTTATCTCTGTGAGCCTCCTCGCCAGTAGCTCAGTTGAGTTGGCAAACCAATCTGTTTTACACATTTAGGGTCTCTCACTAGATTTCAAAATCAATCAAGCCCTTTATTATGGATCACACTTTCCAAGTCAGCGTACAAGGCTTCACCCCCAACGTTAAACAATGACTCCGATGATAACGTATACTTCAATTTGTTGCTGTCATCGTATTCACCGTAATTTAGGCCATCACGCCGCTCTCGGCCTGCCACGCTATTCACCAGTAGTGGCAATGCGAATGATCACTACTTTTGGGGACATCCGAAGCAGTTTCTCTCATATGACAATCTCATGATTCGAGAGAAAAGTCCACTTGTCAGACCAGCGCGGACTTACTCGCATCGGCGATCGCTAGGAACAAACGTTGCTTCCCGTGGCACTATAAGCTCATTCGACTGTCCGCCTCTGACGGCTCGCCTCAAACCACCGCACCATCCGAATGATGCCTCATCTATGAACCGCACGATAAACAACCATACAATTGGCAAACATGTACTACGTTTTGGCCCGTTCACCGTGAGTGCATCAGTACCGAACTAAGTTGTTTCATCGACTTCATTTCGTCTATATTTGTAATTCGATATCCCCGGTCCCTCACGCAATCTGCAATTCTCGTGTGGCCGCAGTATCGCACAACCAGGACAGGAAACCTCCCGTACTTCCTTCTACAAATGGGAGAACGTGCATGCATTTTCGATATCGCTGCCAGTAATCCATGTACTGCCACCGAGCTGGGCTCAACACAGAAAGTGGTGAGTTTAGACACGCTCCGCGGCCAGCTGGACTGGCCTTCGGCATGGAAGTATGTATATTTAATTAATATTTTCAGTCACCCACAGAATATTGGGTGTTAGATCCGCCGGAGCTTCGTTTGGCAACTTCTCTTTGCAAAGAACGCCCCGAGCGAACTGTTTTGAGCAAACAGTGCCGGGAAGCTTTTCCGAAAGTAGAGCTGCTAAGCGGGATCTGCAGGATATGCGCCTCGAGAAATATACAGCCCAGGATATAAAACAACCAGGACAGGCAACTGTCCAGGCCTCCTCCATCAAATATTGATATTACTACCAACGATGCACGTACCGCCACCGTAGCCGTACGATAACGAGATAAAGGTGAGCTCTAGACTAACTTCAGATTCAACTAGCCCTCCGGTAAATTCGACAGCCCGAGGAGAGCCTTGAAAAAGGATCGCCGGCGGCCGCAGTAAGCGGAGTTGGCAAGGTCTAGTGATCAACACACAAACACACCGAGCGAAACGCTGTCGTCCGGACCAGCGCACAGCCAGTTCAGGCAAGAATTATAGTCCCTACCCCAAATTCAAAAACGTTTATCAACCTTCGATATCAGATGTCTTTGCGAGTGAGGGTTCCATGTACTGCCACTGAGCCTATGATAAGATCCTGAGTTTAGACTCGCTCAAGGTCTGGCCAGCTGGATGGATTGGCTTGTTGTTCGTCGTGGATGTACCTACCATCAAAGCGGCAAATAGATTTTTTTGATTCCCATAATGCCAGTTCACCACGTATCGAACTTTCAAATTAGACCCGACAATGACCTGCCATCTGGCGTACGGTGTCTTAGTCTTTGAGCGGGGGGAATGTTTGACGTGTGTAAAATGTTATAGAATTTTTTTTGATGTGGCCACCACGTCTGTCCGGCGCAACGGAGCCTGTGAAATGTCGATGAGGGTTTCTCTGCGTTGACATGCGCTGGCCGGAATTGGGTCGGTGACTTTCATATGCACCGAGCGAGAATGTTTGGAGTCCCTGGTTGGAGCTGCTAAACATGGTGTTACAGCGGGGGACCCATTCCTGCGCGAAGCCCGGAGCAAAACGGAGTATCATTAATGGGAGCAGCAACAGGGGGACAGGGAGGGAAAGTAACGGGGAGCCTCAACTAGTTTTGGCAAAGGCAACCGCAGCAGGAAGTTGCGGAGCAATTTAAATGTGGAGCTGACATTTTATGTAAGCCATACAAAGTTGTGGCGCCCGTGTTGTCCAGCACAACATGCATGTTCACGTGCACACTATGCTCTTCCTGTGACGTGTAAGTGTCTTCATTATCCAAGCCGGCGGATGTAATACTAAACAAAGGACTAGAACGCATATCAAACGAGCGTCTGCTGCAGTCGATCACAGGGTATCCATATTGCATCGACAAAAGGATCCATGACGAGGCAGGTAGGTATGTGTCCAAAGGTCCAATGCAAAAAAGCGTGTGTTATAGGTATAAAAAATACGACGATGGCGCGGAGGTATAGTGATCATGTCCCATTCTACAATAGTAGAGAAGCCAGTCCAAGACCTGAAATCACCGTAAGCAGGCCTGTCATGCCCGCTGCCTCCCATCTGCGCTCCCCAGCATTGGCGTTGACGACCGCTGCATTTTGGACGGTAGTACTGGTGGTTTTGCTGACATTACGGAGGGCCTGAGTTGGGAGCATGTTGGGTGAAGTGCTGATGAGGTATTGAGGTGGCAAAGGTGTGCCATCGTACTGGTACAGCTGAAGAGTATACCCCTTGACCGGATCTTGATATATGTTCCAGAGGACGTAAAGCTCAACGTAGTTATAGATCTCTATGAAGTTGGAGATGGCGGCACAAGGATCTTGTATTTGTTGGTAGCCGTCGCCGAATGGCGTCATAACGATGGAGCCATTGGAGGCGAGCACGTATGTACCGTGACACCAGTTCATAACGCCTGTGATGCAGGTTGGTACGGTGCCTGTGAGGAGTGCTTTAGCGGCATGAAACAGGATACAGCACAAAAGGCAAACCATTGCTGGTCATACGATACCGCGCGATCTCGTAGTACCCATCGTCCGTGCTATGATTCGATCCAAGTCAGACTTTGAGGCTGGGAACACGATCGATACTCACAAAGAATATGACATCCCTGTTGTGCTTGGGTATGTAAACGACTCTTGAGATGGCGTAGCAAAGCCCTTGACACCACAGCAACTTGAGCCGAAAAAGTCGACTGTAATCAAAATGTACGACTCACGGATCCAGTGACGACATTCTGGCTGCCAGAGCTCCAGGTGCCAGTGATGGCGGTGACATTATGGGCTGCATCGTAAACGGTCTGGCCATAGGCAGAGGTTGCGAGCAGCAAAAGTAAGGAAGTGAATATCATCATCAAGGATGTCTATAGAATTCAAATGTTTTATGCCAGCGTTTGATATTTTTTCGGGGTATGAAGGGCAGAGGAAAAAGACTACGGGACAACCACGAGGGAGAGGGAACGTTGGGAACGACGATAGCTGTCGGGGTGAGAGGTCCAGCAGTCTGTTTGTTCGTGTTTGGTATCAGTCTTTGTTTCGAATCTTCATACTATTTAAATAATTTTAGAATCCCCGACACTCAGGCTGGGAGACGGTTCCATGTGGAAATAATGCGGGTTTCTCTGAGACTCTGTGTTTGGTAACTTTAGTTCACCACAAGTTCACCGTAAGTCTTCATCTCCGTCCAGTCTCACATGAAACCAACAAGCTTCAGCATGTCATTGAGCGCCAATTTTCCGACGATGATTGCCACCATGCTGCAGTGCTTGACGTCCCACCTAATTGCTTGCAGTGCCCGACCGTGCAGATCAGATCATCAGGCGGTCGTGGCATGTTGTCATGCAAAATTCTTACACGTACTAATTGCGGAATTAGCTGCATAGGTTTTATAATCAGTACAGCAACTCGGTGTTTCTGTTTACATTCTTTACATACTCAAAGAATGTATGCACCTTCACTGTTGATGTCAAGACAATAACAAAATGCATTCAGCTAGGAAAAGTTATATAGAATACAAGCGATTTAATCTTTCTTCAAATCCCTCCTCATAACAAACAGGCGTTCGCCATCTTCCGCCACGGTTAACTCTTGCAGACCCCGGATGCTTTCCATACCCTGCAGAGTACGTCCTTTGGCGAGTGCGATGAAGATTTCAAGACCGTCACCGACCTGCACCATGTTAGATGAAATTACACGACCAGAATATGGGGCTCACTTCAATGTGGCGCTCAGTCGCGCTCGTGAATGAGTCAATTACTATCGACAAGACGGTCTCTAGCGGTAGATGCGCCGGATGCGAGGTCCCCTGCGCAGCTTGTTGATTCTTGAAGTAAATCTAGGAGTTTCAACGTCAGACAAAATGCACGGGCGACGTAAGGATGGGGAGGATAGTGAGTACTCACCTGGTTGTCCAGGAATGGCTGGACTAATGACTGAGCAGCACCTGCAGCACGGCAGGCCTCTCGTTCATACGAGCCCACGGGGTCGAACGAATACACGGCGCCAGTGCCTGAGAAACTTCTTGAATAAATTAAGGTGGAGCATGAAGATGAACAGACCATCCTCCTCGACGCCACCCAAAATGTTATATACATAGTAGGGAAAGAAGCGACGCCCATAAAGCATCGTTTGAATTAATCTTGCTATTGCCCGTAGGGGCATATCTTTCGCATGAGCGTGACGGTACCACTACGTAGCCCCTTAAGTATATACAGCGAAATCGCATCAAGGAATGACGAACCTCCAGACGTTGCTTCACTTTCTTCACAAACATATTGCCATCTGCTGCGAACCCATTCACAGCCAGCACTGCACGATCGGTTCTTGAAAGAAAAAGTTAGACAAGGAGACAAAATAGTAAGTAACGACACGCGTACAATCGAAATACCTTTGGTGCATATCGCGTTTGAATTGAATATCCTTCGCTCTGTCGTGTGTCGCCAGCAATAACACTGAAATCTGCACCGGCAATAGCAAGGATTGTACCACCATTTTCTGTGTAAGGGTTGAACCGCCTCTCCTGAGGATGAGCGACTGAGTCCATGTCAGGTATGGTCATTTAGAAAGTGGGCAAGCTTGAGTTGGTGGTCAAGAGTTAATAGAGACGGTCAGGTCCAGTCTGGCAGGCCGCGTAAGTACAGTTTAATTATATTTTCCCACAATACTACCCGCTGCTTTTGGTAAAGCGGGGTTGTTTGCGTAAACTTGACTCATACGATCGCAGATCTTGCAGCTTGGTACAGCTCAATATGAGTAAGTAGTCTTCTGCGCACTGGATATCATTCTAGCTGACAAAAAATCAGACAAGGACCTGCTTGATGGCCGACTGCTGTTCGCAATTCCAAAAAAAGGTCAAATTCATCTTGATTACAGTTCGTCAGTAGTACTAACCCACCCTAGGACGGCTGCACGAGAAATGTCTCGAGTTACTCTCCGGTGTGTTCCTCCTTTAATCTCTGAGTGATTTGCAAACCAACCTACAGGCGCCGACATCCAATTCCGGAGACACAACAGGCTTGACGTCTGCCTAGTGATGAATCACCCTATGGCCCTGTAAAATTCTGGTTCCGATCCTATATCTAACCGAATCTGACCCTGATGCAGCGTATTCCTTCCAGCAGCAGACATACCATCATTTGTCGCAAATGGAGACGTTGACCTTGGCATAACGGGCCACGATGTCATCATCGAGGCTGGAATGCAAGAGCAGATAACGGAGATTCACCGGCTGGGGTTCGGAAAATGCGCTTTGCAAGTGCAAACTCCAGAAAATGGGCCATTCAAATCGGTCGATGATCTTGCTGGAAAACGCGTGGTTACAAGTTTTGATGTCATCGCGGGGGCGTATTTTGCTGAGATCGATGAGCGATTGAACCTCACTGGTGATAACAAAACCAAGATCCAGTATGTAGGCGGGAGTGTAGAAGCAGCCTGTGCTCTTGGACTCGCGGATGGTATAGGTGAGTCGCACGTTAGAATGACAGATTGCGTTGATGCTCACATCTTGGTCATTGAATAGTCGATCTTGTTGGTATGTTATCGTCCCAGGCCAGGCCTAGAAAGATCTAACAATAATTTAGAATCTGGAGATACGATGCGAGCAGCCGGTCTGCACGCCATTTCGACAGTACTTCAAACAGAGGCAGTACTCATAAAATCAAACGCTCCCCATCGTGCCCATCATGCACCTCTGATCGATCTCATGGCAAGCCGGATAGCCGGAGTCCTAGCTGCTGCGAAATATGTTATCTGCGAATATAACATTCCCAGGCAATCGATATCTCAGGCAGCAGCTATTACGCCTGGAAGAAGAGCACCCACCATCAGTCCTCTCGAAGAGGAAGGTTGGGTTGCGATCAGTAGTATGGTTGAGAAGAAGAACATTGCGAATGCCATGGACCAACTAGTGAAGATTGGCGCAGAGGATCTCATGGTCTTCAATCTGGATAATTGCAGGGTATGAGCGTCAGGATGGGTATAGAGTCGTTCCTTTAGAGCAGTTTCTAGACTAAGATTCTCAAGTTTATCTACAGAACTGTAAGTACTTCAAGTTGGTACTACTGTGTCATGGTTCCTGTCGCTACTTCTTCGTTTAGACACAACATGCATAACACAGTATGAGAAGACGACCTGACAGGTACAGACCACCACTTTATGCAAACTTGAATTCAAAGACAACACACTTTCAGCAAGTCTTTATTTCCTGACACGTCTGATACCCGCGTAGCGCTACATTAGTGACGAACTCATGATGTCCGTCTACACTTTAGACCGCTAAACCTAAACCCGGTGACTCGATCTTACGAAGCGAGACTATTATGCCTCAAGTCAAGAATTGTGGGGGCTAACAAACAATGTGATCATGGTTAAATTGTTCTTCCGGAATATCGAATGACTCCGTGAGAGTATCTAACTAGTGAATAATTTTACTGATTATCGATTGGCACGCATGCGTACTAAACAACTTGTGACCGAAACACACGATGACATTAATTGAAAAATAAGTTCGTTAACGACTTTTCATTTGCGACCTGCGAGTGGGAGGTTCAGCTAAAGTGGTCTCGACTCTCTATTGAAAGTCAAACTCACACTGTGAATGGAAAATAGGTCTTCAAGGCCAACTTTCGAGCATAGCCTGAATATGCCATACATATACATCTTTGTCACTGGAGTCTGGCAGTGACTAGCACTCAGCACTGTTCCAACTGTTCACATTCCGCTCTCTCGTCGTGCTGGAGGGGAGGGCCGACTGAGATGTTTGTGTCGAGATTCCAGGGACGCTCTGTTCTGGTGAATCGTGATGGTGTTGGTAAAGGGTTTAAGGATGGCGAGTTTCAGTCTGCTTTTACCCATGATCATGCGCGTTCAAACTTCAACTGAAGCGTACGTCGGAAACGGCCGGGTTGATCATCAAAATTTCTTTGTAGAAACGTAAGTCCCTGGATCTCTTAAGTGTTTCAAGGACTGCCATGTATACCGATGGCCGGGGTGTTTCAAACTTCAAGCCTCTCGAAAGCAAGAATGAAGGACCCAGACAATAATGAGCACACGTTTCAACTTTATATTGATCAAAACTAATTATATAGTACGGCGCCCTTGCTAGGTGATACTAGTACTTATGGGTATGGTTTCAGTACTGGCCAAGGACGGCAACCGTACCTTTTTATCAACCTGCACAGTCGACTTTACACAAATCGACCAGTGAAACGCTGCATCGCCATCATCATTGAGCTAATCCAAGGAATTGTGTTCTCATTTACATCTCCGCAGGTGTCTAGCTCATTCATAAGAGACAAAACAGTAGCGTGATGTGTGCAAAACCCGTTCATTCTACTACCTCTCAATCCAAAGCAGATGAAGCCTTCGGCTAACGATGTCCAAATTGCAGCTGCCTGGGGTCTGCATTACTTCGCGGTGCGTCGCTTTCTTAATACCAGGGCGAAACGATAACAGATACCCATATCATGTGCGACTACCAGTACATACGCAGTGCGTGTGGTCTTATTTACTTCGCCCTCGTTCTAACTTGACGACTCAGTGGCCCAGGCTACATTTTGGGTAGGTCTCAATCTATTCCTGTCCGTCAAGCTAAACCTGTTTATCCAGACCTATGATTATGTTTGTTGTCTTCATGAAGAGGTGAGCAATGCAGTTGTTCCGCGATACGCCTCGCCTGTCATATTGATAATATGTTGTTCAAAGTGGACATTCCTGCGTCAGTCGCGCTGGACTAGGGTAAAAGTCATGTATATATTTGCACGATATGCCCCCCTTTTCTCCACGACTATAGGCCTATATAGTGCGTTCATTCCAAACGAACACACATGCCCCAAATGATGAACTAAAATGCTATGCTTCAGTAACCTTCTCACCGGACGAGAACCCCAATGTATGTGAGCATGCAGTTGGATTTACCCACTGATGAGTGGTGCTTAGTAACTGTATGACTTCGTCAGAAATGCAGGCAGCTAATCAATATTTACACATGTACGTGCACGATACTTGTCCAATTCCCAGCTAAGCGCCACTCTTTTCTCTGACAGGTGCTGGATTGATATCACTCATTTGCTCCGAATGTATCTGTCCTTCTCCTGCGACACGCACGTGCTTCTGATCCCATTCCTTCAGGCATTTTTGTGCTCAAAACATGTGCGCTTTGGAATAACAATCGGGTCTTACGCGTAGCCATGCTGACCACCTCTTTTGTGAGTTCCATGCCCTGACTACACCCAAACGTTGTTGATTCATCAGCCAGGCTGTTACTGCAATTTCCGCCGGTCTTCGTTTTAAAGCAATAGCCATCTCACATGGTTCGTGCTCTCATGGGCCTTCCCCATTACTATTCACACATATTCACTCCTCTGGCATAGTGGCGACCAGCGTGATCCCAGGCATTACAGGCTGTTCCTGGAGCTTGGGCGGTATCTGGTATTACATGTCGTTTGTTCTTTTGCTTATATTTCAATTGGGTATGTCGCTGGGAACTGGAAATATGAATTACATATACGCACTGGCTGATGCTCTCCTCAGGACTGTTCTCCCTCACACTCATACATGTCATACAGAGCTGGCGGACAGCCAGGGGGCATCTGTACACTATCCTGGTAAAGCATAACATATTCTACTATGCATGTGGTCTCCGTGAGTGAGGACTTCACATCTTTCTATGCCCATCAGTGATTGTTATTGTTCCGAAAGTTCTCACGGCCACGAATATGCTCATACCAGTGCTGTTTTCTGATGTGCGTAAATCTTGCAATATTCTTCAATGTGATCGAGCCATTATTGACGTTACGCACACCCAGTCCTTATTTCACTCGTTTGAAGAGTACGCACCTCCAACTCCTGTTGCGAATTCCTAATACTGACAACACCTCCAAAATACAGTTTGGAAGTCTGTGTCCTTGCAATCATCGCTACGCGCATGCACCTCCATCTCTGGCACAACGATCAGCACGTGCACATCTCTGGTTTGCAGACATTCCTGTCAAATACTTGCATACTCGTCGGATCGGAGCCCGAGGTGACCGAGTCTTGACCTGGGAGCCGAGAACGTGATAGATTAGAATGTACCCATATCGATTGAAACCAAGAGTGACGAGGGTTAATCAGACTTTGCTATCTGCGTGTATATACAACGAACAGACAGACGTTTCAAAAAATATTCGAGTCGGATTGAATGAGAAGAAAGTGTGGCAAAATGGAAAACATAAGCTTGAGTCGTACAATGTAAACATCTTAAGAAGAAAGGGAGAATCTTGAGAAGAAAGGGAGAACGGTTTGGTTTCGGGAGGAGTCGCGCGCTCGCGTGGTTTGCGTCGCTTAAACCTGTTTTTGGAAACTCGCGTGGCATTGTCACGTTTTTTTGAGCGCCGACTCAATCGCCGCTGCCTGCGCACTACTCAACACAAGTATTTTCCCTATTGTAATTGTTTATGGTACATGCAGTAAATAATAAAAATGAAAATGGAACAACATATGATACAGATAGGGGGACAATGAATATATGTAGTGACAGGAAATGAATGACAAAAGGTTGTGAAAAAATAAATAATAAGGAAACAAAGACAATGTACTGTAGACTCAAAAACTGGAGAACGGGGGGACAGAAAATTGGGAATGGGAAACAGGGAACATGGGAGATGGGAGAATGGGAGACTCAAAAACTGGAGAATGGGAGACGGGAGATGGGAACGGGAGACGGGAGACAGGAGACGGGAGATGGGAGACGGGAGACGGGAGATGGGAGGATGTAGGAGATAATTGGGAGATGGGTAGTAGGGGTCGGAAAAAAGTTAGGTACCATTGTAATACTGCCGGATTACAAGTTTGGCTTGGCACCTTAAGAGGGCCTTACAAGGCATTTTAACAGGCCGTTCTGAGGCACGGCGAGGCAAAACTCAATGTAAGGTCATCAAAAGGGCCCTTATAAGTGCCTTTTAATAGGCATTAAAATATTATCTTGCCCGTTTAAAAGCCCTTATAAGGACACCCTCCAAATAGAGCATTAAAATGTCTTGCAAGGCCTTAAAACCCTGGGAACTTTTTTCCGACAGGCAAAGATAAATACATTCAATGATACTGTTATATATTTTGTAATTTTGTCAGAATCCTGCTCAAAGAATGTAGAACTGACTGATCTTACTATGTACTATGTACTTTATGTGGTGGTAGATTGTACTTTAGTTTTTTTGAACTGCTCATAAATGTATTTTCAAAATTATTCAAAATGCACAATTTATTAGGATGCAGCCTGAGGCCAGGAAGCCAAAGGAACAACACTCATTTTCCTCCCCTGAAGGAGCGCGTAGCGCTCCTTCGATTTGTGCTGAAGGCACAACGGGCGTGAGCTCATCTAAGAAGTAAAGTAGAACAGTTGCAGGAATGGTTGGGCGCTCACATGGCTTTCACCTATTTCACTAAAGGCCACATGGGAGCGCTTAGCTCGCTTAAACCTCTTTTTGGAAACTCGCGTGGTTTTCTGGCATGAATGTGTGAAAAATACTTCTAAATTGAGATTTCAAGATGAAAAAATTCTATGGAGTCCGAAACGCGATATAGTGGACAGTAATCCTCACGCTTACTGCACTGCAGGTACAATAGGGACAAACAACTCACTTTTCCTACCATGGGGGAAAGGCATCGAGCATAACAAAAGCAATAATAGAAATTTGGTTACATTGGTTACACAATTTGGTTACATAAATCATTACACACTTGGCTGCTGCTTTTGAATAGAATTCTCGAGTTAAATTGCCTTCCCCTGCAGCCAAGTGTAATAAAGTGCAAAACACTTTTTGTGGGTGTCATTTCTTATCAAAACAATGATAAAATTTTTGACTTATTAATGAGTTTAGGCAACTCAATATTTTGCACTTGCTAAACAACTGTTTGAATAACATAACAAAGATGGCTCAAATTCCTATTCAGTGAGTCACTGACTATTGATATATATTGCTACATGATGCTAATCATATTTGCACATTACATCATTTTTAGAGATGAACAGATAACCCCCGAGCGTGATCGTCAGTCACAACGAGAACACGATAGACTTGATCGACTTCAAATGACTTCTCCTGCCAGGCGCAATTGTCGCCATGCTGCTCATGACAATCAGGACAGACCCTTGCCTGTTATACCACAGCCGAATTTTATGCCAGCCAATGAGCCACAAGCAGGTCCTGTTCAACAACCTTTTGCATGGCAACCCCCTGCACACTTCCCATATCAACCGCTACCAGTCGAGCGGTATCCTGGCTTGCCATGAAATGCCATTGCACATGTGGAGTGTGCTCATTATCTTCCTCCTGTTGATTATAATGCATGCTTGAATGAGCAAATGAATGCAGCTGGAAACAACAGACGTCGTCAGTGTAATCTCTGTCGTCAACAGGATAGAGATGAGATAAGACAGCAGGCACAGGCAGAGCTCATGGCAGCTGGAATGCAGCCTCCACAGGTGCCTCGCATTCCTAATGAACTCGCTCCTCCTGTTCTTGCTCCTGCCCCCCTTGCTCCTGCCCCTGCTCCTGTATATGGCCCTATTCACTATGAGGGTGCAGTTGGTCCTCACAACTTTGAAAATCCCCTCCATTACTTTCCACCCAATCCTATACCACCTCCGCCTCCTGAACATAATTATCATCAATTTAATGTTCAGTTTCAGCATCATTTGGAGGAGGAACAGATTAGAAATGATTTGCTTCAGAGACAAGCACAGGAGGAATTTCATCGACAGCAGATCCAGCAGCAATTCCAGCAGCAGGAAGCTGAACGTATTCATAGACAAGCTCAAGAAAACTTGGAGGCCTTTTACTTGCAGCAGCAGGAAGCTGAGAGGCGTAATAGACAAGATCAGGAGGTTCATCGCATACAGCAGGAGGAAGCTGAGCGGGCTGATAGACAGGCTCAGGATATTCAGCGAGCAGGTCAACAGGCAGAAGAGGGACAATGTTATGGACTTGGATAGGTCTTCTTAGCGACAGCTCAAATAAGCCCACCGAGGCTAAGGGTGTTCGGCGACTTGACAGAACATCAAGGGTTCCTCCGGTTATCTCGGTAAGACAGCATTTGTCGAGATACAGGGCTAGCGGATACGGCTAAGGCGCAGGGAGCGACTTAGAAGTGCAGTCTAGACAGCTAAGCTGGGAGGCTTAGTCGAACAGGTTTCAAGGGAAAACCAAGTAGATTAAAGTAAGGTCTAAGTACTTTAATCTGTCTGCTTATATAGGTGAATATACAAGGGTTCAGGCTCAGTCTGTATCTAATAGTATATCTGGGATCTATGATAAGAGACCATGCGGTCAACCATGAGGACAGATAAGATACATGAGGCATAGCCTCTGATCAAGCGTGAGGCGCCAAGGGCGCTCCGGATCTTCATGAGGCTTCATGATGCGGCAACAATCAACATGTGCCGATCTAGGGTGACCATGAGGCGTACAGCCTCCATGGGTCAGGTACAAGGCCTTCTAGGCCAGGGGCGGTGTCACAGCGGTCCAGACCGCTGTCTTTCTAAGTGCTGGCGGCATGCTGCCGTGTTGGGAGTCTGGCAGAGCAGGGGCTCTTGTAGATGTTGCAGATGACTGTAACAGACAACATCGCCAGGAGCAGAGGAATCGTGAGCAACAGGAGTGTCTTGAAGAGGCATTGCGCAAATATGATAATCCTGCTTCTCAGCAGCACCATGAAGATGATGAGGAAAGAAGAAGAACTCAAGAGCAAGAACATCGCCAGCAGCGCGATGCAGAGGATGATGAATATATCAACCAGGCACCCGTCCAAAATGTCCCTATCCCAGATGGAGCTCGACCATATGCAGAGCCCATCAATTGCCACACTCTTGGTCCTCTTGATGTAGAGTGCCCCAACTGCCATGCCATGCATTTTGCATGTGAAAGACTCACGAAATCATCCGCACGAAATCCACAGTTTGGTACGTGCTGCTTGGAGGGAAAAGTCGACCTTCCTCCCTTTCCAGCATGGCCACTTGAGCTGCAACAGGCATATGGAGACAGAACATTTGTCTCCAAGATTCGCCAGTACAACAGTGCTCTTGCATTCACATCCGTAGGCATCACCATCGAGGATAGGGCCCTTCAAGGCTCTGGCCCAAATGCTTTTCGTATCCATGGATCTCTTCACCACCTTATGGGCAGCCTGATTCCCCCTGAAGGTATTCAGGCTTCATACACTCAAATCTACATTTATGATCCCGAACGTGCCACCGACATCCGCACCAACCGACCAGGAAATGAAAGTCTTGATCATCATATTCTCAGAGACCTCCATGATATGATCTATCGAAATCATCCCTATGCGGCTCTTTATAAGCAGGCCTATCAAGTTATGAGTGAGAAGCCTCCAGAGCAGCACACAGAAGTTTGTGCACGCGTTCATTTTCAGCAGGGCACAGATGGTTGAAGATATAATCTTCCCACTGCTGATGAAATTGCTGTGATCATTCCTGGAGATGGATCTGAGGAGGTATCTGACAAACGAGATATTGTCTTGCGACTTCAAGGTGGTCAGCTGCGACGCATCAGTCAGCTCAGCCATGCATACTTGACCCTTCACTATGTACTTCTCTTTCCTTCTGGTGAGGAAGGCTGGCACCTTGGAATACCTCTCAACATCCCTCAAGGCGGACGTACACGTTCAAAAGAAGTGACCCAGCTGTTATACTATGCCTTCCATCTTCACCCCTGCCCCATCCATATCGATAACAACAACATCTTTCGTGGTGGAAGACTGTTCCAGCAGTATGTCGTTGATGATTGGGCTTCCATCGAACAGAGCAATCTGAATTGGGTCACCAAAAATCAAAAAAAGCTTAGGGCGGACTGCTACTGAGGCCTGGCAGACAACATCCTTAATGATGGCACAGATGATCTGGCTCAGATAGGTTGCGCAATCATTCTGCCATCATCGCATACTGGAAGCCCCCACTATATGCATCAGTTGCTTCAGGATTCCTTGGCCATTTACCGTGCCTGCAAGAAGCCCGACCTCTTCCTAACAATGACTGCAAATGGGAGTTGGCCTGAGATCACTGAAAACCTCCTTCCAGGTAAATTTTAATAATTGATTTATGATGTTGTTGCTAATATTGCTTATGTAGGTCAGAGCACTGTGGATCGTCCAGACTTGGTGGCTCGCGTCTTCTACCAAAAGCAACAAGCGCTCTTGAAGAAGGTTCACAAGGGCTACTATGGA